CCCCCCCCCCCCCCCCGGGGCCCCCGCCTTCCCCGCCGCCTCCCCTCTCACCCCCCCCCCCCTTCCTCCTCCGCCCCGCAGCGTCGCCTCTATCGTCGAGGGCGACACGAAGCGCTCGAAGCTCGGCGTGACCGCCGCCGCCCTCGACGAGGCGACCAAGCGCTCCCTCAACCACCGCGCAATGCTTGTGGCCCTAGAAGCATTCCTGTCTCCAACCAGCCCTCGAGAGCGCAACGTCTTCCCCTGTCTTCGATCGCATTCCGGCTGCATTCCACTGTCTCCGCCCCTCTTGTTCTTCACGCGGTGCTCTGAAGACGCTGCGCAAGACCGTCTTCCCGCCCCGAGGCTGGCGCATTCCGCATCGTAGGCTTGTGGCCATGGGCGAGGACTGGCGGATCGTCGTTGTCAAGCTGGCGGACCGGCTGCACAACATGCGGACGCTGCGGCATATGCCGAGGCACAAGCAGGCGCGCATCTCGAGATGCGCGGAGATATGGGGAGATATGGGGAGATATGCCGAGGCACAAGCAGGCGCGCATCACGAGATGCGGGGAGATATGGGGAGATATGGGGAGATGAGGCACAAGCAGGTGCGCATCGCGCGGGTTGGGAGGGCGTGCATTGTCGACGGCTCCGAGCACATCTCCCATCACACCTCATCACACCCCATCACACCTCACCCTCCCCGTCTCAACGCCGCCGCCTCCACCCCGCCCTTCCCCCCCGCAGGTGCGCATCGCGAGAGAGACGACGCAGATCTTTGTGCCGCTCGCGCAGAAGCTCGGCATCGAGGCGCTTGAGTACGAGCTCCTCCGCCTCTCGGTCCAGTTCCTCTTTCCACAGCAGCCTCGAGGGGTGTGAACAGCGCCTCTTCACACCTCCAGCTGTGAACAGGTCCAGTTCCTCTTTCCACAGCAGCTGCTCCGCGTGCCGTACGGCCTCGAGCTGCTCGGCCACTGGGCGCGGCTCTTCCTTTTGGATCTAAGCGTGAAGAGGCGCCGTTCACACTCTGTGCTGTGGACGCAGGCGCGGCTGCAGTGCTGGGGCCTCGGCCAGTCGCTCGACGACTACCTCTGCCGCGACCAGGCGCGCAAG